TATTTTTTTCTGTTATTTTTAGTTTTTTTTCTTGTTTTTTTCTTTTTCCATGTGTGTGTGTTCTCTCTTTGTTTCAGATTTTAACTTTCAGAGCTGTTAGACTGTTAGGTACCAATTAAACCCAGTTTAGGCAAGGGGCTTTATGGACTAGCTTCCAGTGCTCCTATAAGAATAAATTAGAAAGAAAGAGTAGAGACCTCACACGCTGATACGCACACCGCAGGGCGCAGTGACCATGGTTGAATTTTAATACATACATATATTACTTCAACCATGGCAGTGACTGCGCTGAGTGAACCTGAGTCTGCACCTCAGACTGTCACCTGGGAGTCAGAGTCTCAGAGACACGCATGGTCTGGCCGGGCGTCTGCCGTCGCCCGTCAGGGTATGTTCACTAACTTCACTCTGCTGTGGAAACTGCCAAACTGGACATGGTAATTATAGGCATCTCGAGTTCACACTTGTCCTTGCATGACTTTAATCTGGGATTCACTGTACGGTTTGCTTGGGTTGATTATATATACCTTTGCAGGTTTATCACTTTATGAGGTCACTCAAAGAAAAGTTTGTTTCTGACATACAGCTGCCACTGCATAGTGCCGAATGCTGATAGTGGCAAAGCAGAGAGTTTTTTTAGACTCTCCTTCAAGTTCAAGTCTAAGTCCTATCAATAGACCAGCAAAGTATCTTGAATACCACTATACCAGAATGATAGAATCATCATACATAATACATTCATACATCATACACAAGATATTGGTTTAACTTTAATTCTTGAGAAAATTAAATATTAAAAATGAACTGATTCTAAAAAATTACTGGTTTACCACTATGTAATATGGGCAAGCTGCAAGAGTCTGTCATGCATGGTCAGGAATTACAATCCAATCATGATCACTTGGGAAGTTGGGAGTGACTTAGGACTTGGCATGATATTTTAGTGCCTTAGTGGGAGTGCAATTCTGATTCACACAAATTCTAAATTTTGTGGAATGATATATTTACAACAAAAGTTACAAGCTGCAATGTTTCAAATTAAAACAAAATATGCAACCTACTTATTACCCATACCCAGGATGGTGCTGTTTTCTGCGGATTAATCCGGTGTAAACGAGGCTCCAAGCCCTTCTACTGGCGTACAACGTTCAACGCGGCAGACAAAGAACTAAAATAACGTTATTGGCGCACATGCCCGGCATACGTCTGCATCTGGCTTGTCTCGATGTACGTCTGCATCTGGGTGATCTGGCTTGTCCCGATGTACCGTACGTCTGCATCTGGCTTGTCCCGACGTACTGTACATCCGCATCTGGCTTGTCATGGCGTACATCCGCATCTGGGTGATCTGGCATGTCCCGACGTACGTCCTCATCTGGTTTTGAGCATTTTAGTGTATACTAATGCGTTTTAAGGTGATTTAGGGCCTTCTAATGTAATCTAGTGCGTTCTATTACAATCTAGTGCGTTCTATTACGATCTTGTGCCTTCTAATGTGATCTAGTGCCTTCTAATGTGATCTAGTGCCTTCTAATGCGATCTAGTGCCTTCTAGTGCAATCTAGTGCCTTCTAATGCGATCTAGTGCCTTCTAATGCTATCTAGTGCCTTCTAATGCGATCTAGTGCCTTCTAATGCTATCTAGTGCCTTCTAATGCTATCTAGTGCCTTCTAATGCTATCTAGTGCCTTGTAATGCAATCTAGTGCCTTCTAATGCAATCTAGTGCCTTTTAATGTGATCTAGTGCCTTCTAATGCTATCTAGTGGCTTCTAAAGCGATCTAGTGCGTTATAATGTGTTATAATGCATTCTAATAGTTTTTATTGTGTCCTAATGCATTCTCATGGTTTCTGTTGCATTATACGTAATGCAACGTAGTGTGTTTTGAGTTTTAACATGCTCTAATGTGTTCTAATGCATCCTAGTGTGTTTTAATGAGTTCAAATCTGTTCAAAATCATTCAAATGCATGTTGATGAATTATTATGTATTTTGTTGCATCATAATGTTGAGTTTATTGTGTGAGGTCTGGTTGTTATGCTGTATTACAGTGTGTAATGTTATGTTATACATTATACAACACATAACGCAAATAACAGAACAAAATATTGCATGACATTATAATAGATCATAACACAACACATTGTAGCCCATTATAACACCATATATGATAATATTACACAACACAAAATAACATAAAATAACACAGCACATTGTAACACAATATAACAAAACCCAATACATCATCACACTACATAACACAACAGAAAAATTATGGCATCATAACATAGCACAACACATTCTAACACATCATAGCATACCATAACACATAAAACATAATAATACATCATGTCACAACACGAAGCAATACAACACGCATAACAAAAATTATAACGAATCATAACATAGCACAGTATAACAAAATAACATAACACATCATAAGATGAGAGTCTAACAGCATAACACATATAACATAGCAAAGTATATCAACATAACATAATACATCATAAGATAGCACAGTATAGCAACATAATATAACACATAACATAGCACAGTATAACTCGCGCGCTTCTGTATTGATCATTGGGCATCGGCTAAACCGATCGTAAATCGCGTGCGCTTGTGTCGATCATTAGGCATCGGCCACTTTGATCGCAAAGAGCGCACATCAATGTTGATCATTGGGCATCGGCTATATAGATCGTAAAGCACGTGTGTTTGTGACAATCGCCAGGCATCAGTCGTAAAGTACATGTGCCTGTGTCGATCATGCAGCATTGGCGAGGGTTACACTTCCGTTTTTAGCAAGCATATTGGCAACTTTCTTCCCTGGCATACTGGCGCACATCCCAAAACAAACCTCCGGCGTACATGCTGCACCTTCCTGACCATGGCTTATTACTGAAATTTTGTGGCTACAGAGGGCAAAATTTTAAATGCATCCTGCAACCCGTTTGCTGTTTGTGCAATTTTGTTAACAATTAAGTTGGAGGTAACTTGTATAGTGTGAATCTTTAAGTTAGAAAAAAGGGCAGGATAGCTGAGCAGCTCTAGTAGCAACTCAAAAGGTAGATATATTTTTTGGCTGGCTTTACAGTCATGAAATTTGATATCCACCAAAATGATATGATATGTAAGGAAAAAGTAGGATTTTCCATTTTTTCTATAAAAGCCATGGCTGGATTCTTAGAGCACTGAATTTATTTGCCAGTTATTAATTGATTTTTTGAACTGGAAGTCCATGCCTATCCTTGAATACTGCTGCCAGCTCTGGACTCCATTCACACTAGGCGCAATATGGCAACTGGAAGGAGTCCAATGAACCTTCACTTCCGGGATCAGAAGGATGGAAGAGTTGAACTACTGGGAGAGGTTGAGGTGCCTGGGTCTGTACTCACTGCAGAGGAGACGGGAGAGGTATGTCATTCTGTACGCATGGAAAATGATAACCGGAATGGTGCCAAACTTTGAGAGCAAGGCTTTCAGGATTAAGACATATCACAACAAGAGAAAGGGGAGACTGTGCAAGATCCCCCCACTACGTAACAGATCCGCAGTCAAATTTCAATCCCTGTGGGAAAGATCACTTTCCGTGGCAGGGCCAAGGCTGTTCAACGCCCTACCAAGGGATCTAAGAGAGAGGGAGTTCACCCTGGAGACCTTCAAGAGACAACTGGACCATTCTGGACGTGTTCCTGGACACAATCCCAGATCGACCTCTCCTGCAACACTACCAGCGGCAAGAAGCAAGCAACAGCATCGTGCATCAGGTGGCCCAAATGAGGGCGGATGGACAATAATCAGAGGCGGCTATCCATCGTGGCCTGGGACTGCTGCATCCCAAACAAATACTAAGGATATTGCCATTGTGCATGCCATTTTGAAGACTGTTGAGTGTTGACAGAAGTGTGGAAGCAGTGGTCCTGAACTGCCCAAGTTCAGAACTTCATAGAATGACATATTTTATTCCATAATTCTTGACTTTGGTATTTGTAGCCACTAGCCAAGAAGCTGTAAGATTTCATGCCTACTGAAATGACTTGATACTGGAGATCTGAAATGATACTGGAGACTTTGAAGCAACAATATTTCAGAGAAAAGTATTTTTTCCAGTCTTTCTCATCAAGTCTTTGGTAAGATTTTTTAATTTCCATATTCTTGACATTCTTTTAACTCTAAGATTCCAGGTTTTTTCTGATAAATTCAAATTCAAAAATAATGAATGTACAGAATTAAATGTATTGAATAAAAATTTGATACAGCTAAGCTCAACTGGGTGATAGAAGAAGCAGGGCCTAACTCTGCCAGACTAATTTTGACTATATTTTGTAATTATGGCTCGTCAAAGGAAGCCGCATAATGGATCTTCTAGCCAGGAAATTCCTCTGGGTGAGTTAATTTAAATGTAAAGATCTGTGTTTTGGGCAATTTAAAAATTGAGATGATTGAGCCATTCATTAAGAATTTAAACTATTCATGTACTCGAAATTGACTAAGCTTGTAGTATATTCTCTTCTCAAAAAATTAATAACAAATTTATACTAAGAAGCCTTTATTGTTATTATATGATTTGATTAAAAAATTTTCTAGTGCAAAAGCAAAGTTTTTAATGTTGATGAGTATATATATATATGCATTAGTGTAACAATTCGTTTATTTCCTAATTGAATTTAAAATCAACTTTATTTTGATGTATCTAAACTTACTTTAAAATATGTTCATTTGACAGGCAGAGCCACAAACAAGCCCAGACACAAGCCCCAGCAATATTATCCTCTGGATGACAGTGACAACGAAGCCCTGGACAACAAGAAACAAAGTTGGCTTAGCACTTCACTCTGCATGACCCTAGCAAGCAGCGTCATACTTGGCGTGGCATATTTCCTATACCTTGGATATTTAGAGACTCGAGTCAATACTCCTTTATCTGCTCCAAAGGTTAGTTTTAACTTGTAGGTATGGTATATCTGGACTTGAATTTTATATTATATTGTTTGTTCATATATTGTATATCTTGCGGCTCATTAATCACTTCTTTTTCTGCTGCAAGTGAATGAATTTTTTTTTAACAATACTAAAAAAATATTTTATATCATCCTGAGATTTTAATTTTTTAATGAAGTCTTATCTGGTGTGGTTAAGTGGGACATTTTGATGCCTGAATCCTAGCTAACTCTGTCATGGCTTCTGTCATTATTTCAAGGCTAAGTAAGTTATAAATGTGTTTTTTACTGTATTGAAAGTAAGTTATTATCTTTATTCGTATGTTTCATAGCACTCTAAGCTTCCTAGCAGGGTTGATCAAATTTGCTCTCCTGGACTTTTGATTCAAGATTACTCATAGCCTAAAAGTTAAAAGAAAAAACAGTCATTGTGAAGTTAATTTTTTCAACATCATTGATGATGATTGATTTTCAAATAGCTATTTAATTTTAATGTATGTTGATAATTGTGTGCCTGTGAAGCTCTTTAGCTTATATAGGCATGCACAAGGACATTTTGTATTTTTTTTCTTCAAATTTTTATGGTCTTTTTGAAGGTCTAATTATTGATTGAGTAAAAATTTTTTATTTTTTACTAAAAGATTGTTGATGATGGTTTTCATATGCCTTGTTTCACTGCATTTCATAGGTGGTTACAAAAACAGGCTTGGATGTACCTGATAGGTACTGGGGAACATATCGTCCTGGAGTTTATTTTGGAACTCGTGTTAGGCACCCGACCTCACCAGTGACGGGACTCATGTGGTTCTTGCCAGGACATTTCCAACAGAAAATGCTTGCTGTCAGGTGAGCAAATTGTGTGCATTAGAAACTCTATCCTATCAAATGCATCAGTCCCCAAATTAAGGGTTAATTAATCCCTGTGCTTATGTACCAATTGATTTTTGGACAGTTGTTAATTATGTTATCTGTTGTAATTACATTTATTTACACTGATTGCAGCATGTCTGGGGTTATGTTATGAATTCATTCATAACATAATGAATTCATAATTTGTTATGAATTCAAACTTCATCTTCCTATGACTGGCAGTTTCTCAAGCAAAACCAACCCACCAGTAGTAATAGAAAAAAATTAGCTGCTATGTGTATGTGAGCAAGTTTTGGAAGTAAGGCCTCTGAAATGTTGTCAGTGCCTAATGTAGCCTGATTAATAAGATAATACATGTGAAAAATTTGGGGAGGCTCTGGTATAATACTGGAATTTTTCAGGCACTGGTGTGACCAGGCCGATGAACTCTCATCCTACGGGTGGCAGCGCCATGATGGCCGATATTTTGGGTCACAGGTAATCCAGGACAAGGGAATGACAATCACCACAGACTTCGTGAAGAGGCTCGGGGGGAAACATGGCGGCGACTGGACTGCTAGAATAACTGCTCACCCAAAGGTATATACCACGTACCTATGTTGAGGATTCGTGCATACCAAGCCCATTGTATTGGTACCATACTGAATATACTGGATTGCCAGAATCACTGCTTGTCCATAAATAAATAATATGCCAATTATATCCATGACAATTGGAGATTTATGTTCATTAAATCAGATTAATATCTTCATGGGCCCTTGTTTCTCTAATAATCAGACTTATTTATATAAAGAGAGGTTGCATCGAGAATCAAAGCAATATATTATTTACTGGGCTTATAATGAGCTATTGTTAATACGTATGCAGTGTGCCCTGTAATTTACATGAGGTTTGTCAGTGCGGGTTTCCGATGTTTATTATTATTATCTCCATTATTTTTTATTCCTCTCTTCTAATTTGCGCTAACTTGTGTTTCTCTTTTGGAGCAATAACATTTTAAGACATTTGGACTAATGACAGCTTAAATGTGAGATTTGCGAGCATAATGCAACTTAATAACTGAAGTTCTTACTTACATTTACTATTTGGTAATTGTTAACTTTTTCATTGCTCCAGAAAATTTTATTGATGATTTGTGCATGAGGCTGGTTTTTTAACATTCCCGTCAGTAGAAAAATTGACCAGTGTTTGCTCTGGGCAGCCGGCTTTGCTGTACACATGATGCGCTCATGAGAATCTTTGAAATAAATTCACAATTTGTTGAATTAAATTCTTAATTTAAACTATTGCTTTGACCTGTACAGCATGGCAAATATAATAATTTTACCAATATTTTCAGACCAATGCAGGCATTGGGCAGCTTGCCTCCCTGCTTTACTACGTGGCCCTGGACCCTGACGACCCCAGCGGCAGCATCCAGCCTCTTGTGGGGTCCACCCAGGGCCCCGGTGCTCTCATGGGCTCTGCTGAAGCATTAGGAACCTTCAGGTCATTAGTAATACAAGCGTTTACTTGAAATGAGTAGCTCTGTTATCATTTAATAATTTGCTCTGCTGAGGATTAGGGTACCTTCTGGTCATTATTAATATAAGTGTTATGTTTAACCTGTCACTTGTCCGTCGTATAATAATTTGGTATTAGTGAGCTACATTCAAGGCTTCAGGACATTGATAGTCTAAGCATTACATTCCTATAAGCCATCCCGCCATATCTAATAATTTTCTAATGACTAGAATAATTTGTCTTATCAAGTCCTCGTTCTGTAGATACCGTATTTTAATTGATATATTGTTCTGTTAAGCATGTTTTTTTCCTTTCCATTGTATTGTGACAATTATTTATCTATTTTACGCCAAATTGTACTTTAAAGCTTGATGGTCTTCTTAAGTCTATTACTTCATCTCTGCCTCTAAATTGCAAGTTAGGCTCACAATGACTATGTGACCAGTTAGTAAAATAAGCAATTTTTAATTTCACGTTGCCAGCGTATCGTATATTATTAATTATGAAAGAATTTGTTTAATCATTATCGTTATTCTATAGCAAAGTTTTCAGTATCACGCATGACTCTCATGTCCATCCGATGAGAATTAATTATCATTAAATTAGTTTTTTCTTCTTTTCTTGGCTATTTTCATTTTTTTCTAGTTTCTTTTTCTTGTTTTCTAGGCTTCATCTGCTGAACTCCTCAGGAGTGGTACGACATACGAGTTACCTCAGCACGCGGCACCTTGGCTTAGATTTGCTCAAGGAGACGGTCTTTAGGAGCCTACGACCCATCCAGTCGCCCGGGACGAAAGAGAAATACATTGGATTTCCTGGGGAACATTTCCCTGCTGACAGTTCATCGCATAACGCTAACTATGTTGCCTTTCAAGTGACGGCAGAACTCCCTTTCCAAATCGAGGTTGTCTTCGAAAGTGACAGCTTTTCACAAAGACCCAATATGCTTATGGGCGATGTCTTCTCGCGGGATTTAAAGAAGTATTCTGAGGAATTCGATGCTCAATTTGATCATAAATTCCCTCTGAAGGAGAAGGGGTTCACCGAGGATGAGATAGCATTTGCTAAAGCCGCCATGAGTAACATGATCGGCGGCATCGGGTATTTCTATGGGGCGTCTCGAGTGCAGGGACGTACCAATAATGAGCCTGTGCCTTACTGGAAAGCCCCGCTGTACACAGGCGTGCCTTCTAGAAGTTTCTTTCCTCGCGGCTTCTTATGGGACGAAGGCTTCCATAATTTACTAATTTCCAAATGGGACAAAGAAATATCGCTGGATATCGTCGCTCACTGGATGGACCTCATGAATTGGGACGGATGGATTCCCCGGGAACAGATCCTCGGGTCAGAAGCTCGTGCTCGCGTTCCTGAAGAATTTGTTGTTCAACGCAGCGAAAACGCAAACCCTCCTACGTTGTTGCTCACCTTGCACTCCATGATGAACGTATTCAAGGAAGGCCTCAGTGATGATGACTATGATAGTCTTAAGCTACTATGGCCTCGACTACGCCTGTGGTACTCGTGGTTCAACACCACCCAAAGCGGACCAGTGCCGGGATCGTACCGGTGGAGAGGCAGAGACGCGAGCAACAAAAGAGAACTCAACCCTAAAACCTTGACTTCAGGCTTGGACGATTACCCGCGCGCGTCGCATCCCAGTGTAGACGAAAGACACTTGGATCTCCGCTGCTGGATGACGATGGCGTCTGGGCTCATGGCCGATATTGCCACCATGATAGAGAAAGATCCTGCTAGATATCAGGAGACTTACGATTATCTGAGAGACAATGACCTGCTTGACCGTTTACACTGGTCGTCTGCTGAAGAAGGCTACATGGATTACGGCCTGCATACTTTTGATGTGAGTTTGCAGAGAAAAAATCCGGGCACTGAGATGCAGAGGGTTACTTACTCCACTCCGAAGTTAAGATTCGTGGACTCGCCGGGCTATGTGAGTTTCTTCCCGCTCTTCCTACAGATCTTAGAGCCATATTCATTGAAGCTCGGTAAAGTTCTTGAGGATCTCAAACGACCAGACTTACTCTGGACAAATTATGGACTGCGTTCTCTAGCCCGGAAGTCTCCCCTGTACATGAAGCGCAACACTGAGCACGACCCTCCGTACTGGCGGGGCCCAATTTGGGTCAACATGAACTACTTGTGCATCCGCGCCTTGTATTACTACGCCAACACCCCCGGGCCGTACAGCGACCTCGCCCTGGAGATATACAAGACGCTCAGACAAAACCTTATCAAAAATATTATTAAGGAATATAAACGTTCAGGATACATTTGGGAACAGTATAATGACCAGACCGGGAAAGGGCAGGGATGCAGACCTTTTACTGGATGGTCTGCGCTCGTTGTATTGATCATGGCTGAGAATTATTAGACCACATTCCCTGAGTTAATTTTTATTACGGTTTATAGTTTCCTATGGAAACGATTAATAACTTCATGGGGGCATTTGATATTCTTCTAAGACAACTTTCATCTGTGATGAAGTCGTATAATGTGATGTTTCATTCATTTTATTAATTTCTGAAACGTTATGAAATTGTGTATGACCTCGAATCTTCGTACATGTGGTCAAGGATTTATCTAACGTAAATTGAATCGATTTTTACTTTCTTGTACTTTTTTTTACATGATCGTGAAAATATATAATCTAGTGAACTGAGGATCCGCGAACGAGAGCGAAAACTGTTGCCAGTGACAATCTTACAACCTTATTGCATTTTGATTTATTTTCAGTTACATTGCACTCGTCAGACAGGTGCTCCCGATATAGGTATACTATTCTAACGCTTGGGTTGTGACCTCCTAAGCGCCTTTGTTCAGGACCTCATTTTTTCATCTGATGTATTTTTATCTTGCCTGCTTAAAGGGCCTTGTTTGTGTACTTACACTAAAAATTAGTTGTTTCCATAATCTTGGTATGGACCGTTATTCATTTTTATCATTGATGTAAAACATGTAAAATGGAGAATTTCTCTTAATTCCATAAATATGCGCTGTTATAGTAATTCCAAATTTTCACTGATTCTTTCGCCTTGTGAGTTTATTAACTCAATAATATTATCTCATATTAACCTAAACTTCAGTCGGCTCCAATCTCATGTTGATAGTCAGCCGCTATCAAATGTTGATATACCTATCCTCGAATCAGCCCTAATCTCTTATTAATGTAACCTATGAACAGCTGTAATCTCATATTAATCAGACTTTTAATCGGTCATAATCTCACATAAATATAGCCTCTAATCAACAAAAATCTTTCTCTTCTGCTCGCCGTAATGTCAAATATCGAGATTACTTGCAGTAGTTCTTGTTTGCTGTGACCTCGTCATGAAATCTTCATGAGCTCCTCTCCTACTTTTTCGGCGTGTCTAGTTCTCGGACTTCGATCTTGATCGCCACATTTTTGTGTGTGTGGGCTTTTGGAACTGCAGTGCAATATTATTTTATTATGATATACGAGTGCCGTATTTTTCACTTGATTTAATAATTTTTCAGCGTGTGGGTTTGGAATTCCAACGCAATGTATTTGTTATTATTTTGTATGCAAAATGGTGTAGTGCTTCATTTATTGCAAATAAATATGTGAATCTTGCACTTTTATTTAAAATAAAGTAGTGTTGATTTGTATGGTCGCTATCTGAAAATTCCGGTGACTATCATACAATGTAACAATTTTATATTGTTTCCGTGTTAACACCGTTTTCATTTACACGATTCCTATTATTTTAGGTTATTATTAATATCGTGAAATTGTTCACACTTCCAGGAGATGATATTCATGATAATATCAATAGACTATCTGTGCTGGGAACATGAACGTACCGAAATATTGTTATTTTCTATGATAGGTTGCTTCAAGTTTTTTTTTTTTAATTTGTTCAGCTAGTCCGGGCCCTTCAGACATTTTTAATGTAGCTTAGGCCTGTGTTTGCAGTTGTAAATGAATGCCCAGATGAGCAATAATATTCCATTCAATACAACAGGACCTTTATTTTATGAGTCAGTTTCTCGCTCTATCCTCTTATTTATTTCTGATTTGTTATAATATAATAGAAGTGTCGGCACTGAAGAAATAGTCCCATGGCCTGTTGTCGATTCTTGAACTTTTCGTGACTTGATTCACAAGGGATCCGGCCTTTGGAACCCGATCTTTCCATAGCTGACGATTGATTGAGATAGCTGCTGGACTTATTGCCTGGTCCGTAATTTGCTAGGCATTTCAAGACTGAACATATGCTCCTGCATAGCTTCGTCTAGTCTGTTCTTGAAGGCGTTTATACTCGGAGCGTCAACGATGCTATCAGGGAGGCTGTTCCACATGTCGGTGACTCGAAGCGAGAAGAATTGTCTCATGGAAGTGTTAGAACGCAGTTATTTTAGTTTAAAGCCGTGGCCCCTGGTACACGTATTGTTATGCAATGTATTCTGTTATTAAGGTTTGCCGCCATGAGGCTTTATTATTCCACCAAGTATCCAGCACCTATCTCATACATACTCATTCCTATCTCATTCATACTTGTTGATTTATGTGATGTTAGAAGAAGAGAAGAACTTTTTTTAATGGACTATCACTAATTTTTTGTGCCTGTTGCCGAATGTAAATCTTAACATAACAGAGCGATGTCGGCGATGAAGAGTAAGCCTGGTGTGGCCTGTCGCCGATTCTTGTACTTTTCGTGACATGTTCAATGTTCACAAGTCCAAAAGCATTCATTTGACCGGAATTTTTCAAGGCTGACGATAGCTTGAAATAGCTACTAGACTTCCACCGGGTTTGATATGGTGCTAGACATTTCACGTCTGAATATCTATATTTCCATAGCCTTGTCTAGTCTGTTCTTGAACTCGATTATACTCGGAGCGTCAACGATGTAATCGGTAATCGCTCGACTTCCTTGTGAATTTCTTGCTTGCGTGACTGTGGAGACCTGTGCGCTATGGTACCCTTGCACATTATGATTATTTTTAGTACTCGAGTGTTTGTAAATAAAAATTTTCTGGATGTGTGTTTTCCTTCCTACTGATATTGAACGAGCACTTTATTTTGTATAAAAAAATTTGCAAGTCTTTTGTAAAAAGAAAATTTTACAAGGACATAATTTTTTCAGCGAAACGTGGTGAGCTCATTTATGCTGAATGGAGTGTCATGAACCATTTTAATTGAACCCGAATTGAACATTGCTCCATTATTTCATTGATATGTCTATTTGCCGGATGATGACTCATGACCGGTTATTATCTATGAGTTATGACAATAGGTCGGCTCCTAGTAATGCACTTTTTTTGCGAAGTTTGTTATAGTTTAAAAACTATATGGAACATGTGGAACAGCCTTCCTGACAGCATCGTTGACTTCGAGTATGAACGCCTTCAAGAACAGACTTGACGAAGCTATGCAGGTCCGAAAGTTGCTAGGCATTTCATGGGGTCGCCTGCCGAAGACCACCACTGCCCTGGATGTAATGGGCATCGTGATTCCTGCCTTCCGGAACGTAGCCTTCAACACTTCAAGCCGTCTTTATCTAGGCCGTGGATCGAATCAGCCCTCGGTCGAACGGCCACTTGTCGGAGGACGATAAATTTTGGAACAGAACTATGTTACCTGAAACCTAACCTCAGATGCAGTGAACGTAAAATTACGTAATTTAACGATGCCCGGAAGTCATATTCGATCCGCGGCCTGGTGGTGCACGGCAGGTGGTGGTCAAGGCCGGAAGAGGACAAAGCCGAGTGGTGCACGGCTGATTGGTGTAGGTCCGGAGAGATCCAAGGCGTTCGATTCAGGGCTTATTGGTGCACAAAATTGGTGGTGCACGGCTGCGCTCCCCATTTTATGACTGAATATAAGCTCCAGGCAATAAGTCCAGCAGCTATTTCAAACAATCGTTAGTTAAGGAAATATCGGGTTCAGAAGGCCGGATCCCTTGTGGAATCAAGTCAGGAAAGTACCAGGAATGGGCAACAGTCAATGGGCCTAATTCTTCAGGGCCGACAATTCTATTCTATTCTATAAAATCTCAACTGCCTATTCTTGAATTTACTTTTCCCTTTTGCCCAATGGTAATTGAATGTAGCCAGTTAAGTGCCTTCAGATGCACCTGTAAATGAATGATAGATTGCTCCCGGCCCGAGTCTTATCGAGTTCAAATCATGTATTAGTAAAAAACAGGTTTTTATCATCAAAGTAAAATTTTCCGTCGGAAAATACCGCAGATAAACTGTCGTACACTTTACATTTATTTTCTTAAAATTGTGTATGTACAAATGCTTGAAGACCCTTAGAATTCGAATAAAGTTATTTAAAATCATTAAAATTACAGCGAGGATATCATGAAATAATACATTTACTTTTCTTCATGCCTGATGAGGGAAGTTCATCAACCGGGAACTAGTTTGTGCGTGCGGTGCTATAGGTAGTTGTGCGGTCGAGCAGGAACAACACACTCAAAGGGGTGGCAGAGGACAGTGTTGAACTAAACGGTGTCGAGTGAGGTGTGTGTGCCAGTGATTCGTGCTGTCGATGCAATATTTTGGATTCTGGGAAGTTATTTTACTTCCTGTTCATCGGTGATTCGAATTTTTAAAGTAAGTTCATAATGCTACACAGTGTATTGTTATCTGTGTTCATTACTAGTACGAATGCCATTACAAATGTCGTTTTATTCCTTGTCTGTCAAAGAGTTGGCTTGACACTCCCAGTTTCGGTGAGCCGACTCATGGACTAGACTAGAGTTGCCAACTATACAGAAACTTCTTGGGGTCAGTAAATAGGTGGCTGATTACGTCGTGTTATAACCACAGTCAGGTTTGTTATTTTCAATTATTAACATTTTATTAATTACGTTATCTTGTAGAATAACGTAGGAAAGTTCCTCCATCGCTTTGAAAATTGAAAGCGGACGTAGAATCATGGTCTCAAGACATTTCTGCCATGAGCAACTCACACTGACTACGAGGAGCCACTCCCACCGCCCGACGCCGCTGCTGTTCCGACTATTTTTAGTTATGATGCTCTAGCGTCAACTCTCTTTAAATGACTTAATTGACTATTTTACGTGCTTGTTTTCCCTGCTGATCACGTCATTCTTTTATTAGGCCTAATTTGTTTACTGCCTGCGGTAAGTCAGTTAGTGACAAGTCTGTCATAATTTCGTCTGAAAGACTGAAACTTTCTTCGTGTGTGTTGCGGCTTGAATAATCTCAATGTAGTGAATGTACTGTATATAGCTATAGTATACAAAATACCTTTCATGCTGAAAAGGAGATAATTAAATGATCGCTAACATCAGTCTCCAGCCCTGATCTAATAGAATGTCTTGTAATGTTATATGAACAATTTTCGTTATTAATTGTTCTGACACAATGGAGGTCACCATATCGCTGAATAGTTCATAAAATAATAATTACCTCAGCCGTTATCTGCTTCAAATGTTGAACTACTACCCTGAACTGACCTGATCAGATACACTCAATTAGACAATTACGCAAGTTCTAGACTGAATGTCATGCACTAAGGCGTAGGTACCGACTGACACCTAATCTAATGCTGCACCACGCAACTCCCGATACCTGATGTCAGCAATCCGTGCATGTGATCCCTAATCCTTATATTCGGAGATTTTTTGCCGCTCCGGTGACAACTGACATTCTTGCGCTGATGTCTAAAATAAATCTTGCTCTTCGAACCTAAAAGCCACTTTTGATCTGTAGGAAGCTCGTTAGTTAAATTCAATTATTCAAGTGAACATAATTTCTTGCCTCTTAAAGCCGTTCGAATCGTCTTGCGTTGAGCGAAATTCATTGTTTTTAATTTCTTACATTTTTTTCGAATAAGAAGTCCAGCCAGCAAACGTAGTATATCAGTTTGGTGAATCTATTAGTTATGTATATGCTATCTTTAGACTGAAGTACACTTGCCAGTGTTCTGAGTTCAGATTTTTTAATGCTCTATTCAAATATTTAAATTGAATTTACCTGGCTGCTTGACGTCCGACTTGAGTGATGCTAATATGTTTTACACATTTCGTCCGTACTCATTGCCTGGTACCTATTACCTAACCTCTTCTAGCATTAGCTTATTATCTCGGACATAACTCCTTTTGTCAGTGGCGCGGTATCTTATCTACATAACCAAATATTTATTGAGGATAAGAATAACGCGAAGCTATCTTTCGAGCAACTCGGTATAGGGGGGTAAGTTGTTGTGTTTCTGGACCATTATGCTTATTTCAACTTCATGATTATACACCAACTATATATTTGTGCTGTGATAGAAGTTTCATCTCAGCATAATGAGCATATAGATTTTTGATCAACCTTGTCGAACATTTCAACAACATTTATTTGCTCAGATTATTGTATATCTAAAGATCGTACTATCCTTCCCGCTGATTTCTATCGTTGGCTCATTTTAGTGCAGCAGTTTTACGATTATATTTCTGTCATATTATAGACACATTACGCTTTATTATATATAGTATATAACTTCTCATTGCTCGGCTCAAGCCACTCTTCTATGACGGGCAAGATGTCATGGTAACGTTAACCCTCTACCGCCGTATGTCACTCTCCGAGAAAATAACTTCCAACTTGAATTATACGTACACTATTGAGTGTAGCAACCTGAGGACGTTTGTACGCAACAGAGAACATTTTAAAATTGTCGTACGTGGCGCAACCATCAGTGCAAGTCATTTTACGCTCACTAGAACGTATCCTTTTTGGGTAGGCTTGTGTGACAATATTGCTCCGGTTACTCATGTCAGGCAGTAGAGGGTTAATAATGTTCTCTAATAAACGCAGTAAAACGTCAGAATCAGGCTCTTCGCCACTTAAAATATCGCTTCAGTAATCTTTATCACCATTTTTAGTCAATGTATTTCGCTCCATCACTACATAACTCTTCATCACCACATAGCACTTTTTTACCTCTCTGATACATGTATATTACTATCAATGACAATGTATACATGTAGTATACATCAATACATGTATATTACTATCAATGTCGACACAACTCAGCCACGCGCTTCTTCTCGCATCGAGTCGCCGACACGTGTAAAGCGGGTAAAGCCTCCCTGAGTGTCATTGTTGACGTAGTATGAACGCGTTCAAGAACAGACCAGACAAAGTTATGCAGCTATACATATTCAGACTTGAAGCCCTCATCACCCCATGTACCTGATAAAAATCTAGTAACCACTCAATTGAACGTCAGTTTTTAGAAATCTGGTCAAAAAGCAAGTTTTCGAATATCCTTTGAAAAAATCACGAAAATTGTGAGAATCGGCTACAGGCCGAACTTGGTATATTCTTCAGCGCCGACACTACTAATACTATACTATATCATTCTCGTACTGTGTTGTACTAAACCATAATCGTCCCTTACTATGCTATTACTATACTGAACTTTATATACTATACTATTCTATACCGTACTTGATCCGAACGTTACCATTACTATACCAGACTATACTTAGACCATTTACCGATGGTGTGCTCCGACGCGCCACCCACCCACGCTCGCCCGACTCCCAGGTCTGCCACCAGCACCGGAAGCGCGCGCGACCTGTTGTGCGGCGCGCTACTGCCGCGCTGCCTGCCTGCGTGACTGCGCGTTCATTCCCATGCATTGACTTCTTGCTTCAGTTCTAATTGTGCTGACTTCTTGCTTCAGTTCTAATTGTGCTGACTTCTTGCTTCAGTTCTAATTGTGCTGACTTCTTGCCCGTCATATTGAGAGAGTATTGATTGAAAAGTCTCGCGTGCAAAAAGATTTGAGAGTTTATGTCTACAAGGAGCTGAAATTTTTTAGGCATATTGAAACGCAAGCTACGGTAATTAATCCAATAAACTTCTTGGACTGTTGAGAGGCTCTGACGAGTTCCTAGATGCAGAAGCGATGAAGTAGTTGTTTGCACCCGATGCACCCGAACCTATACGCCGTGTGTTTGGAAACACTGTGTGGTCACCAAAACTTGAAAATGACAAAAATTTCGTAGAGCGTATTCAAAGACGTGCAACAGGGATAATTCCAGGCTTGAAGGGCAAGTCTTATGAAGAAAGATTAAAGATTATGAAGCTTCCAAGCCTCTGTTATCGACGTCTGCTTGGTGACCTCATTGAAGTATACAAGTATACTCATGGCTTATACATGTTCTGGAAGGATTACTAGAATCCAAGACAAGAACCAAGCCCAGGGGCCACAGCTATAAACTAAAAAACATTTCGTTGCAATTCACCCACGCGACAACATTTCTTCTCGCTTCGAATCACCGACATGTGGAACAGCCTTCCTGATGACATCGTTGGCGCTCCGAGTATGAACGCGTTCAAGAACAGACTAGATGAAGCTATGGAAAAATATATGTACAGACTTGAAATGCCTAGCACCATATCTAACCCGGTGGAGGTCTGGTAGCTATTTCAAACTATCTTCAGTTTTGAAAAAAAATTCGGTCAGAGACCTGTTTTTAGATCTCATGTGAACAAGTCACGACAAGTAAAAGAATCAGCGACAGGCCACATCAGGCTTATTCTTCAGCGTCGACATCACTATGCTATAACATTGATTTCTTTCTTTGTCATATTGTATTGCTTCCTTGATCCATAACACTGGAATTTTTGTTCCGTCATATTGTTTTAAATTCTAGTGTAAATTTGTTCCTCTGGATTGGCTTCTTGCTCCATGTCTAATAGTATTGCTGTCTTGCTCCGTTATTGTATTATGTTTTCGTTCCGTTATATCATTTTGAATTCTTGTTCCATCTTTTCAAAATTGTCACTACCTTTTATTCTGTCATATTGTTATGACTTGTTCTGCTATTTTGAAATTGTTCCTGCTCCGTCATATTGTCTCGAATTCTTGTTCCATGTCTAATTGTCTTGAGTTCTTACTAGTTCCATCATGTTAAAATTGTTATTTCTGCACCATATTGTCTTGAATTCCTGCTCTGTCATATTGTTTTGACTTCTTTTTTCCTCCATTTTGTCGCGACTACAGTCGTCATCGGAAGTTGACGTGCGAAAATTTTCAGAAGTTACTATGGCCTCATGAAGGAGTTACATGATTACCTTTGATTGTGAGGTTATGAGGATTGTGTGAGGTGATATTATTTGAAATTTTCACTTGAGCGATCGCGGTACAAAAACAAGATCAAGAAGAACCGCGTTAGTTTACATATATGTAGAACAGTAGAAGTCGAATTTTTTGTGGTCGATGTGATGATTTTAATGAATTTTCTGCTAATCTGCCGTCGTGCAATGTTCTGCTAAGCTACCACCGTGCAATGTTCTGCTAAGCTACCACCGTGCAATGTTCTGCTAAGCTACCACCGTGCAATGTTCTGCTAAGCTACCACCATGCAATGTTCTGCTAAGCTACCACCATGCAATGTTCTGCTAAGCTACCACCATGCAATGTTCTGCTAAGACACCACCAAGCAATGTTCTGCTGAGCTACCACCATGCAATGTTCTGCTAAGACACCACCAAGCAATGTTCTGCTGAGCTACCACCATGCAATGTTCTGCTAAGACACCACCAAGCAATGTTCTGCTGAGCTACCACCATGCAATGTTCTGCTA